TTTTAACCCTGCAACCTTTGAGCTGCTAAGCTAACTTAACGTGCTCAAAAAGTGATATTTAAAAGAACTCTCCCACATATGTCTGTGGCAAACAATACTAGAGGGCCACTGAATGGCAAAAATACTTGGGGAAGAAAGCATGGGTTGGAATGCTTTTTAATCATTCAGATATGTTAAAATGTTTGTGGTCAAACCTAAAGAAAAAGCATACCACTGGAGGCATCTTGGCAAGGTGCACTTGTGTTAAGTGCCTCATGTGTCTCCTGTTTCTTTAACTGATAAAATAAAAGGCTTAGGAAAAAATGCTGGCAAGCCACACCATATTTAAATGAACAGTTCAGAACCTAGAGCTGCTGAGAAAGAAAGACCAGAGTGAACTGGTGGAGTGAGATAAAAAGGAGATGCAGTGGAAAATATGAGCAACTTCATGAAAACGTTCAGAAACCTGTCTAACTCAGAAGCAAAAATACCAGGGTGGAAGGGAGTAAAAGGGCTGTGAAAGGGCAGAGCCTGCTGACCTATAGAGAAGCAGCTCTTTATGAAAAGACAGAAGCAATTTTCAGTGGGAAGCCAAAAGCTCTGAGACTTGCTTTTCATGGGTACATCTACACTAACTTCAGAGCACCGGCCCAAGCTCAAACTTGCCTCATGTTTGGACACAAGACTCTGCTCAGGGCCTTGGGTGAGCTCCATCTCTGGGAGGAGGTGGGGAGTCTGTGCTGGCCCAGCCCTTTATATAACCCAAATGGTATCATACCCTGCACTTCAGAAGTTGGTGTGAAGGCTGATGAGCCTTTGCCTTCTCCCAAATCCTTCATTCCAGAGCTCATAATTCTGTGTGGCAATTATCTCCCTCCTCTAAGTGCTTAATGTCACATCCCACAAAGCCCTGCTGGAAGTGTGGTGTGCTGACCACGAGGCATTCACAGCTTGCCAGTGGTCCAGCCTGCTCCTTATCCTGCTAAGGGCAGGTCAGCAGCAGGGCCACACCATCTGCCCGCCAATGGGGCTTCCTCTTGGACAAAAAGGCAACAGTGGTTCAACCAGTACAATTTTAATAATTTTTTGTTTTCCTCCTTAGACTTTGGCATGTCATCATAAATGTTTGGCCAGACAGGGAGTGGGGCCAGCCTGGGAAGTGCTGAGGGTGCCTCCCTGTCTCTTGGCCTGTGCAGGTGTCTCTGCAGGGAGGATGCTGCATGAGGTGTGAGTCTGGAACTGGTGTCACCAGGGCTGGCAGTACTGAAGGACACCTCACAGGGACTCTGCCAGAAGGTGTTCTTCTCATTGGCTCCTTTGCTCTGTGGCTGGTCTCTTGCCTGATCTCTGTCCTGTGACCAGACACATGAGGCCTCGTGTGCTGGGAGGAAAGAAGGCTGATGTCAGGCTGTGGTGGTGGTGGTAAAAGTGGGGTAAATTAGGATTTCTTCCCCTGCCTCCATGAGCTGTCCTGTGATTACCCCTGGGGAAGCACCCCAGCAGCTGGGACTCTTCCAAAGAGGGAGAAGGACAAAAAGCCACCAAAAGAGGTTTTAGCATGGCCTCTTAAACACAGATATTCTTGTCTGAGATGCTCTGATATAAATAAGATGAACATGGTATAAATAAGTAGATATGGTATCAGTGATGTTGAAGTTCATTGAAATGTTTGGTTAATAAAACCTGGAAAAAAGGTGAAGCTCTGTCAGTGAACTGTGCCCTATATCAGGTGATTAACCTGAAGCTGGACAGATTTGTACCTTTTCCTGGCCACATGACTACCAGATACCAGGTACCACCATACACAGCTGCAGTGTATACGCATAAATAAAAAGGAAGATTGTGCCAAAATTCTTTGATGGAACAGTTTGCATTATTTAATGCCAGTTTCTCCAAATCAGAAAGAACTGAGCCCACTTATGGGACAATGAAAAGAAACCCATCCTCAGGACATCCTGAGAAGGGGGGAGATGAAGGATGTTGCCATGCAAAATGTCCCAGCAAAGACCAGCTTCTTGTTTGGAGCTGCAGGCTGTGAGGAGCAGTGCATGACCAGGTCCCTGAGCTGTTGCCTTTGCCTAGCTCCAGGAAAGTGTCTGGCTGCTGCTGACAAGGGAGAGCTGTGAGTATCTGGGGTGACAGCTACTGCTAGAGAAAAGGGAAAATGACCTCCCCTCACATCAGCAGTTGCTGCCCTATCTCTCCAGCCCCGCTGCAGGAGTGGCAAGCCCTAGAAAAGCTCTAAGCACATGCTGGTACCAGGTAAGCCAAGATACTCTGACTTTTATATGTAGTGCTCAATGAGAAGCCTCAGAGCATAAGCTAATAGACAGCAGTTCTTTTAGTGAAACCTTTATGTTAATTCAATACAGACTACTTATGGAATTTCCCTTCTCTGAGAAAATCTCAACTTCTATAGAGAACAGCACTCAGTCTTGTTCTTTTTCTTTTCAGAACTTCAGAAGTTCCCTTGAAAATTCCCCGAAGCCTTAATAATAATGATTCTCAGTTGCATGTCAGGATGTAATGTACAATGTAAAGTTTTCACATTTGACGCTCAGCATAGTTAAATTTACCACAGTGCTTCACATTCAATTTATCCCAAGAATTCTATCAAAATCACATACTGTTCAACTAGAGATTTATCATGGGGTGCTTAACAATGAATTATTCAAGACTACCTAATGTATCGTGGTTTCTTGAGAGCCTAATGTGTGTATGTGTATATATTTATACATAAAATACCTGTGAGCCATTACAGAAAACCAGTTTCTGAACGAGGTTTCAAGAGTAAAACTAGAGGATGTTTAAAAATAGGTGTCCTCCTGAAAATACAGCCGAGTTTTAGAGAGAAGAAAACCTCAATAATCTTCCCTGTTCAGCTATACACATAGTCATTTAAAGAGGATCTATATCCTGCAGGACTCCTTTTAGGTGAAATTTTAAAAGTATCTAAATTCTGCATTGAAGGTGGTGTGGGTTTTTTTTTTTTTCCTATGTGCATATTGATGTGGTGTTTTAAATCTCACTGAAAAGTTTTAAAGAATTTCCCTCATTTGCAGGTTTGAGAAGATTACTCTGTGCCTCCTACTAGCAATCATCCACAGTATTTTTCCCAAAGTGCTTTACTAAGTGGGTAAGCACTTCCTTTTTACTGAAAAGGTGGAAAAACAGACAAAAAAAGATGAAGTGGTCTGGCTGGGATAAACATCTTGGTATGCTTCCTTTTCAAAGCCCTTAGGACTGCATTTTTAACCTGGCCAGGGGGCAGCCTCTGGAACGACACTGAACTGTGCTCAAGGCGGCCCTTTGGCCCTTAGCTGTGCTCGCTGGAGGGGAACAGGCTGAGGAGAGTCCCCAGCTCGCAGCTGCCTCTTTGGCTGCTTTTTCAGATGGCCCTGGAAATAACCCCAAGGGGCCAGACTTTCAGTTCTTGGTTTTGTCCTCTGACCCAAACTGACTTTGGGATGACTGGTTTTATGTTCAGGGGAGGATCAGCTGCCACCATATGATACACATCCCTGAGGACCTGTCTCCTCTTTGACACCTCATTGAGTCTTTCTTGTTAAGACAGTTGTGCTTGAAGGGCACTTATATTCCTGTGCACATAGGTGTGGTGAGAGGGCTGGATTTTCACTCACGGGTGGGAGGAAGTTTGACTACTTTTAGCAGAAGAAACCTTTCCTGCAGGCTGCAGGGGGTTTGCTATGGTCTCATTTCAACTTGCAGGCTGGAGCATCTATTTTGAACTTACTCAGGTCCTTGTGAAAAGATGAGTGACCTAGAACTCCCTTTGGCACCAGCAGCAGCTGTGATGGCTCCTTCTTCCTAAGGCATCTTGTGAGAAAGGGCCAGTATCTGATGCTTTCTCTTGATGACTGCTGATCACGATCTGAGGCTTTCAGACAATGAGTGGCAAAGAAGGATCTAGATGCCATGTGTCTCAGAGGCCTGCAGGACAGACTTCAAGGGACAGCTGAGCAGAACAAGTAGAGGCTCAGACCTAGCTTCAGAAGTTGCATGGTCCTGACTGGTCAGACTTGGTACACTAATTTAAGCTTATGGCACCCTTAGGATCATATTCATGCTGATGTGTTTAGGATAACAGTAACTCCGTTCTTTAGCAAGTCAGAGTCCCAAGTCTAAAAGCCAGACAAAGGAAGAACAAGGCAAGGGGGGGGGGGGGGGGACAGACAAGGGAGAAGACAAGCACTGTCTCTAACAATAAAGAATCATCATTTGCTTGTCCAATAGGAGCAGCAGAACACATTTCTCCTGAAGATACTCTTTGAGGGTCTGATTTTTCCATGAATCTCCAGTTCAGCGATGAATACTATCTCTTGCCCTAACCACCAGTTGCAAACTAGCCAGGGATTTCACTTTTTGCCTCCCGTGTTGCCTCTGGGCAGGACATAGGACAGGTTACCCACAGCAGAGAACCTGCCACCACTGTAAGCTGGAAGTGTTCTCAAGGTATAATTTAAGTGAACTCAAGAGGAAAAATAGCCCAGAGACAGCGCCTGTGGCCAAAAGCTCAGGCAGAAGTGGTGTCATGTCAGTCCACAGCTATGCAGCAAGCTACTCTGCATCTTCCTGCCTTGGTTTCTCCCCTGTGAAATGGGGATTAAAATACTCATCTGTCTTACAAACATAATTGAATGTAGGTTGAAAGAACTCCCTGTAAAAACCTTGAAAACTCTTGAGAATGGTGGTCCTGTTTGCTTAAGGCAGGATCTGGTCCGGACACTGAACTCGGAAGGGAAGGACACAGCAGGGCCAAGGTGCTCACAGCTGAGCACAGACTGCCAGGGGAGTGCAGGCACGGGAGGAGGGAGAACACGGAGGTGATGCAAGAAACATTTATTTGGGTTTGTTTGCTAAAGACATCATGTACTGGATTCAAAAGCAAAACCCGATCGAAAACCCGAGTGGCAATGAAAAGCTGCCAACACTGCTTTGTCGGGGAGTTTAGGTGACAAAAAAAAAAAAAAGAAAAAAAGAGAAAAAAAAAAAAAAAAGAAATGCCAAATTCCCCTCCTAAGGACGCAAAGCCCAGCTCGGGCCCCCTCGCCTTTTGGAGGGCGGCCCAGCGCTCTCTTGCCAGCGGTGCGGGAGAAGGGAGGGCAGCCCTGGGGCGGGCAGGGTGACCCGGCACGGAGAGCGCACACACACACAGACACACACGTGTGTGCTGTGCACACACACCCCCGCAGCTGATGCAGGAAACCAACCGCGGCAGCACAGCCCCCACCGGCAAAACCCGCGTCCCGGGCCAAAAAAGGGGCGCCGCGGCGGAGAGCACGACGCGCCTCCTCCTCGTATTTCCTCCCCCGCCCACTTCCAGCGGCGGAGGGGCTCGCTGCCGCCGCCGGCTGCCGCCCGGGATGGAAAGTTGTAGCCGCGGCGGGATGCGCGGCGCGGCGGTGAGTTTCCCCGGCGGCGCCGGGGCGCGGCGGGCCGGGCGGGCGGGGGCGCGGGGAAGCCCGTCCGGGCAGGCGGCAGGGAGGAACCTCCGGGATCTCCGCGTCAGCCCCGTCTCTCTGCGTGTCCGTCCGTGTGTGTGTGTGTGTGTGTGTGTGTGCGCGCCCGGCCGTGCCGGTGCCCCGGGGGCCGGGCCCTGCCAGGGGGGAGCGCGACGCGCACCGTGCAGCGCCCCGAGCGGCGGCGGCGGCGGCGGCTTCGGCCGTCGGGGGGAGGCGCTGCCTCGTGCCGCGCCGAGCGGGGACCCCCCCAGAGGAGACCCCCGGGAACCGCGGCGGCGAGGTGCCCCCCTGCCTCGGGGCAGGAGCAGGAGCCGGGGCGGCGGCGCCCGGGCAGTCCCGCCGGTGAGAAGGAGGAGAAAGAAGAGGGGGAGGAGGCAGCGGGGCGGCGGCAGCAGCAGCGACCCCCCGGCCGTGCCTCCCCCACCGGGCCGCGAGGAAACCCCCTCGGTGACCCCTCCCCCGACCCGGGGAGGGGGCGGGACCGGGAGACCCGGTGACGTCACTGCTCCGGCCGCGCTTCCTGCAATAGAAAGTGAGAGAAGGTAAAACACCCCCCGCCCCCCCGCGCCCCCCCCGACGGTGACCGGGGCGCCGGGGGGAGGGGCGGGGCGGGCCCGGCGGGGAACGCGGCTCTCCCCGAGGGGACCCCGGCGGATGCGCCGAGCCCGCCCGTCCTCCCTCCCTCCCCCGCCGGGCCCGCCCCGCCTCTCCCGCCTGCCAGGGGAGGCTCCCACTCCCCCGCCTCCTGTTCCCCCGCATTGTGTGCCCCCCCCCCGTCCACCGCCCCACGGCCGAGGGGCAGGGCCGCGATGGGGGCTCCCGAGTGGGACGTGGGGGATGGACCTCCCGGAGGAGGGGTCTGCTGCCGCGGGGGGCGGGCGCGGCCGGGGGCCGGGGGGCTGCGGAGCGGGGCCGTGCCGGGGGGCGGCGCCTTGGCCGGCCCGGGGGGACGGTGCATGGAGGAGGGGTGGGTGCCGCTGCCGGGCTCTGTGTGTGCGTGTGCGTGTGTGTGCGGGCGCGGTGGCGGCTGTGGCGGCGGCGGCGCTGGGTCATGTTTGTGTTTGAGGTTGTCAAGTGAAGGAGGCTCCCGGCCCCCCCGCTCCCCCCGCTCTTTCTCCCTCCCTCCCTCTCTCTCCCTCTCGCCGCCGCCGCCGCCGCGCAGGGGTCGCCGCGCTCCCCGCCGCTGCCGCCGCCATCAGCCGCCGCGCCGGCCCCTCCGCCAGGTTTGCAGCGGGCCCCGCGGGGGGCGGGAGGGGGCTCGGGAGGCGCTGCGGGGACGAGGGTGCAGGGCGGGACGGCCGCCCCCCGCCGCCCCCCTCGGCGTGGAGCTGCGGCAGCCACAACACAATGTGTCCTCCGCCGGCGGCGGGGGGGGAACGGGCGGGCGGGGACGACCGCAGGCCCCGATCCCCCCCTCAGCCCACCGCGCTCCGCCGCGGCCCCTCCGGGACGCGCGGGGACTCCGCGCTCCGGCTGCGCCCGCGCTGCCCCCGGGGGTGCCGGTGCGCCCCGGCTCCCGGTGGGTTTGTCCGGGCGTCCCCCCCTCCGCCCCGGGTCTGCAGCCGGGGTTTCGGGGGCACTGGGAGGCGCGGAGCCCCGGCCCGGCTCCTCTCGGCCCCGCCGCCGTCCCCGCTGGGTGCCGGGCCGCGGCCGCCCCCCGTCCCTCTGTCCCCCTTCCCCCCCCACCCCCCCGCGGCATGTGTGCAGCGCTTTGTTCGGTGCGGCGTTGCAGAGGGGTTTTCCCAGGCTCCTCCCTCTTTATTCATTCATGGATTTTTTGCCTCCCTCCCTTCCCCTTCCCTTCCCCTCGCAGTCCCGCTCGCACATACCCGCGGCTCCCCGGGCCCCCCGGTGGGCTGCCTCCCGCCCCGCTCCCCCATTTTTGGGTGGGTACGGGGGGATGTGACCGCTGCGATCGCAAAGGCCCGTTTCGCCCTCTCCCCTTTTTTTTTTTTTTTTTTTTTTTTCCTCCTTGCTCAAGCGAGAGAGGGAATGACTTTTGGCGTGGGTCCTGCCCGGTGTTTCCGCCGTGTCTCTCACACGGCCATCTCTTCCCCGAAGGAGAGGGTCTCCTGCTGGCGAGCGGGGAAGCTTGGTGGCATTGAAGCGTCAGTAGGATGTCATTTGTGCTGCAGGGAAGCGTCGGGAAGGGGCTGCCGATTTACGGAGGCACCGGGGGATTTCAAACTCTCGCTCCGAATAACTTGTGTAAAGAAGTGACGGTGTTTATTAGCGTCTTTAAAAACCTCAGCCCAGCCCCAGCGACTTTCCCAGTCGAGCCGGAGGAAAGGTGGGGACTGGGGCTCAGGGAGTGCTGGTCGCTTCAAGCCATCCAGCCACTTCCAGTTCGTGCCAAAGACCTGGAAAATTGACCTGTTACCATAAGGTTTTATTTAATTTCTAAATATTTCTGTTACGCTTGCAGATAAACTGGTATGAGTTAACAGCTTGACAGGCACTGTGCTCTGTTTCGGATTTTTTCCGTCTTTTTCCTTCAACGTGCGGTAATACCCTAGTGAAGAATCATTTAGTCAGAATAACATTTTCCAGCTTTCCTTTGTGTCAGTTGCAGTAATTTTTTTCCTCCTGTTTGGGTCTTTTTATGCAGCAACAGACAAAAGAAACATTAAAAATTAATGATTATATTCCTTAACAGTATGTAGACTGAAGGGGTGGTTGCAAGTAGTCTATTTTAATTGAGTTTGAATTAAATTTACTCAGAAACACGTTGCCTTGAAAAACAATGTAAGTGCCCCTAAATTAATACTTACAACAAATGCTAAGAACTCTACATCCTTCCTGCTTCAAACAGCTGTCCTTAATCAATTTGCCTATATTAGGAGCCATTCCAAAGTTCATACAGTTAAAAAAAAATTCTAATGTTTACTAAAAAGAAACATTTGTTAACATGAAGTAGAATTATTTTAAAAAGAGCAGAAACTTGTTATTTTTAAATTTTGTTTAGATGGAAGAGTGTAATTGCACCAGTTATTTTCTTCTTTAGGTTCTTGTGTGTAGGTAGTTTTCCATAGGTCTTTGAGAGATTTCACATCCTGTATCAGAAAGTGAACAAAACACTCATTGAACTGTTAGCAATTCCTAAGAATGTTTGAAAAGTAAGAAAGTGCAGGTAGGTCAAGAGCTAGTGTGATCCTCGGCTGTACACTGATATTTCAGCAGAAATATCCCATGGGGAATTCTTCCAAACTTACATGCTGCCTGTAAGGATTCTGTAGGTGATGTTACAAATCGGATGATGCTTTGTGTGCTTGCCCTCCCCTCTGTACTTCCCCCACCCGAAGCTGAAGATGTGTATCTGAAAGCCAGATGCCAAATTTTGTTTAACTTTTTGGATTTATTTGCATGAGATGAGGGTTGCTGGAAGATGTTTTCTGGCTAGAAAACAGCTGACAAATGTGGAAAAGTGTTTTCGTTTTCTCGTGCTTCCTGAGTAATCCTGAAAGGAGTTTCAGCCTCACGTGGTTCTCCTAAGGTACTGGAACGTTTGCCTCCATAGAACCGGTTGAGGAATCCGTTCCGTGCAGGTTGTGCAGCTGCCCTGGGAGCTGCAGGTTGAGCTCCGGGTGGCGGGAGCCCGGGGCAAGAGGCCGGGAAGTGGTGCCGAGGCTTTGCACAACAAAGGGCACCAGGATCTGTGGCCCTGCCAGGGGACAGGGACACAGCGGGAACCCGGGACTCAGCTGGAAGACCCCCGACTCTGGCACGCATAAGTCTGGGATCAGTAGCAGACTTAAAAGCAGCAGCCCAGGGGATCCTTGAGGATCCCTCCTCTGAGGCACCAGCTTGGGCTGTTTCTCTGTTCTTGCACCGTGAAAACATTACTTGAAGGGACCAGGGGTCTGTGACTCTGCTGTGGGAAACGTGGGTTGAGCCGGCAAGGAAATCTTGTGTGTGAGAGTGGAGGGAGTCAAGCCTGCTGTGAAGAGAATTCGGTCTCAGCAGTGTAACTCTGGTGGTCGGAGTGTGACTGCCAGGGTGGCTCCTGGGCTGTCAGACAGGAAAGTTCCCTTAGCAAATCATAGGTGCAGAAATATTTCTTGCTAATTTCCATAGTCATTTGAGGATGAAAGGGATCAGATAGCTATCTTTGTTTTTCTTATTGATGCCTACATCTCATAACTTTCTCTCTGTTTTTTTAGCATACGGATTAACTGAGCCCTTTGACAAGTTTATGGAGCTGCCATCTCTCTGCTTGCTGTACTTTCCGTTTCTGAGAGGAGAAAGTGGTGCATGAGATTAGAGGAAAATGCCTCGGACAAAGCAGATACATCCCAGAAATCTGAGAGGTATGTAGCTCTCAGTTGAGAAGGAAAAGCTCTTGGGAAACTCGGTTGCAGTTTCAATTACGAGGTTAAAGGAATATGTATTTAAGAAGTTGGTTTTGTTCCAAAAGTAACTTGTAAGCAAGTTTCAGGAGTTGTCTGTGAGACCGCTCTAATTTTCACAGAGAAATAACTGGAACATGTCCTTAATCCTCCAGTCTGTGCTTGACAGCATTCTTGATATTCTCCAGCTTACAGCAATAGCCAGCATGAACTTTGAAAATGCAAAGGAAGAAGCAGTTTCCTTATCAGAGAATTTACGGTTGAAATACAGGGGGAGGTGGGAAATGGGTGTGACATGGCAGAACTTGACGTCCTGCAGCCGGTAGTTGTTTTTCTTTAATAGTTGTCAGTTTAGCTTGCTTTTGAGGGGATCAAAACCTCCTCCCATGCATGGCTTCTCTCTATTTATCTATCACCTGTCACCCATGCTACCTTGAGCACTGCTAGGTTTGACCTTGGTCTCCTTGCTCTCCTGCCTTTGCACAGCCACATGGTAGCTTGGCTGTAAGGGGCAAGCAGGTGAGAAAGCTGCTCTGCAAACTGGCAAGCTTACATGTCCTGGCATTTCCTAGAACAAAATCCCAGTGCAATTTACCAATCCCATGCGAATGTGAAGGATCTGATCCTATGGATATTTGTTACTGCCTTGGTAGAAGTGGCCCTAGAGGAATTAAATGAGAGGAAAAATGCAGGTCAGTTGAAGAGCAGACATCCATGTTGAGGGAGAACACGCTTCCATCCCCGCCCTTTTGCCCAGCTCTTGGAAGAACATGCTTCCACCTGCACCCTTACATGTAGCTGTCATCAGCTTTTTTCAGGTTAATTTTACAGTTGCAGGATGGAAGCATCCCTTCAGAGGTAAAAAACCATTACAAAACCACAAGCATCAACATAAAGCTTTAAGGGCAGGAACAGCATTTGATTCTGGTTTAACTTTTTTATGTCAAAACACAGCAAACATTCTCATGTGTCTCAGTTAGTTTACAGTTGAGAGTCTCTCAAGGGCTTGTGCATACAGCTGTATCTGAGACCTCATGTTTGCAGACTGTTGTCATTGCTACCACTAACAGTCTCTGCTGGAGAAGACATTTTTGCAGTGTCTTTATTCAGGAAGTGCTGAGTAGCATTTTGCTATGATGGATAAACCTCTCTCACAGATCAGGAATTTTGCGTTTCTCCTTACAGAATGTGAAGTAATAAATCAGAGCTGAGTCTTCAATATTGCTGCTTAGCAAGTTGCTGACATAACTGAGCTTATGTTTTCTGATCAAATATGAGACTGATTTAATTTTAGTACTCTGATATCTACTCTTGTGTTGCTTGAAACTTAATAGGAGTTAAATGTATTGTAAAGCTCTCTATTCACTTAAATAAATAATCTAATTAAACTCTTTAATTGTGTAAGAAATTAGTTGCCTTTTTTCCTTGCATAATTTCTCCAATCATTTAGCTTTTACCAACCCTGTTACAGCAGTTTTCATCAGTTCCTATTTTTCTACAACTAATGGAGTTCTTGAATGAATTGAGATGGGTTAAATGTTGGGAAGGGAAATAGCAGTGTATACAGCAAGCCCATAGTTAGAAATTGTGTTGGAACAGCTCAATGATTGTCAAAACTACACAGGTTGCTGTAAACTTCAACACCGTGTGAGCAGATATTGCTACTGTCATGGGTTGTTAGAGGTGAAGTGATTTGAAAAATCAATTTACTTCTCATTAGTTGTACACAATTTCCATTTCTAGTCCAGATAATGAAGAAAACTGGATTTCACTTTCTTTAGTCTCCTTATCAGTCCCTGAGAGCATTGCAGAAAATACTTGCTTTGAACTCTCAGTTTGTGCTGGAACTTGGGGAAACTGAAAGGTTTCACAGGTCTGTTTTCTGACAGCTTATTTGTGTGTATGCAAAGTTAGACACATCTTAAATGGATGCTATTAATTAACCATTAAAACTTTAAAAACCACATGGTTTAGCATGTGGTTTAATCCATGGTAGTTGGTATTGATGACAACTAAGTGTGCAAAAAAGCATAAATGTATATGGTCAAAGGTGAAACTCGGCAAACCTGGCGACCAAAAAAATATGTTCTGTAATGTTTGAAAGACAAAGGTGTAAGATTAAGTAACCTGTGTTTTTACAGGTTTTTAGGTTAAAAGCTATTTTTACATTGTCTAAACCTGATTGTCACCTTTTGTACTATGTACAAAGAACACTCCATGGCCTTACCTGGCTTCTCCTTCCCTGCTGCCAGCTCCTCTCATTGCCCCATAGCAATCAAGTTGCCAACAGCTTTAACTAGACTTGCTCAGAGCCCATCAATGTTTAACTTTTTTGGAGATCACTGTAGAACAACCCTTGAGACTCTCTCTATGCTGTTGTGCATTAGATGAGTTATTTGGGTTGCACTTGCAGTCCAAATCAGCCTGGAGAATAAATAACCACGTTCAAGAACCTAAAGTATTTTCCCTTAAAAAAAACCCCAACACAATCCTTCTCTCCCTTCCTGCCAAGAAAACACACAGGAGAAAAACCACCATAGAGATCCCCCCCACACACTCCCATTAGTTAATTTGAGGTTTGCTGCAATGTAGGAATAAGTTTTGAAGGTTTTAATATTGGCTGTGTTTACCGTAAGCAACCTTATTGTCTGGGGAAAATAAAGTAACATTGTTTAATATAGAGAGCTAAATTTAAGATTTTGTTAGGAAACCTTAAGGCTCTTTGTTTTCTGTCGTGGCTTGGTTCTGCTCATTTTGTATATTCTGTGAAATCTGACAGCCTTTGGCAGAAAAGCAGCTGCCCTAAAGTGTTAGGATCAGTGAAGAGCCTTATATTCTGAAGATTTCGCTGTCTGCTTATAGATGATTGAATATAGTGCTATACTGACCTGATTTTACCACAGGAAAAGAAACCTATATAAGCAAGATGGGGTATGGGAAACATTATTTTGCAAATAAAACCGAATCTAATTAGTTGACCATTTGTTTTCATGAGTGTATTAGTGACATGGCTTTGATGCCTGTTTGCATCTGAAAGAGCATGTTGAATCTGAAGGTAGCAATACGACACATGCTGTGCTGCCCTTGTTTCATTAAGTTGTTTTGTCATATCAGCCTTCCCTGCTCCTCACCGCAAATGCCTCCCTAATGTGAAACACCTTGCCATCACCAGTGGGCTGCATTGGTAAGAGGAGTCATACAGTGTCAGGCTGTCTCCTGACCAGCTTACAAGTCGTTGTCATCCCCAGCAGTGGGGCTGAGTGGCTAAAATTTGAGAGAAATTACTGTTTTCTATGTCTCAAAGGAAGATGTGGATTGGATGCATGGAAGTTCTGGGGAGTGTTTAGTGGTTTCAGAGGTGAAGGCCAAAAGTATGGGTGGGAAAAGCCTGGTATGGGTTGTCCATTAGTGATGTGACTGGAGCTGAGTTCATAAGCAGGTGTTCCTGATATTGTCCTAGTCTTTTAAATATTAAGGGTGTGTATTGTGTTGCTAATCAAAAGCATGATTCCTCCTTCAGAAAACAAAAAGGGCAATATTTGCAAAAGAGGAAAATACCTGTCTTGCTCAGACACCCAGAGGTCTCATTTTCTTATTTTTCTTTGCTGTTTTAGCTCACTAAAACTAACAAAAAGACTCCTTTGCATGTGGCTGCACTCTGTATTTACATGGCCAATTGATCCACACATGTAACAAAACATTTCACGGAATCTGTAGTGTATTTCCAGAAGTACAGTTACATTAGAGAATCATGCTTTTAGCAGGGCTGAGTGGGCTTGGTTTGTTGTCAGATGGTTGTGAGGATATAGAAGGAAAAACGGCTCATGTTTTTGTTTACTTAGAAGTACCCAATTGCAGAGTTTAAAATGAAAAGTTTTGTTATGTGTACCCTGTTTAGCACAGTGCTGTGATTCACCAAAACAAAACTGTAACAAATATTTTGAATTTTGTCTCTTTCTTGATAAGCTTTCTGTTATTTTTTCAGAAGACAAGTTGTTGCTGTTTTTCCTTCTCAATCAAGTATTTCTCTTTGGAAACAATGGCAGACAGGCCCATAATGTTCAACAGCCGCTTCCAAATCTTCTAGTGCTTTGCATTTGATAAGGAAATGCAAGTATAATATGAGTAACTTTGCTGAATATGTTGATAGCTTTGCAATAATCTAAAAATCATGCTTAAGTTTGCTGGAAAGCTGTGTATGTAATGGCTTTAAAATGTCCAGAAGAGCTGGGCATCTTCTGCTTCTCAAGTGTGAATTAACAAAGTCTTTCTGTGTTAAGATTGTGATGTGCTTTTAGTGCTGAAATAGGTCTGTCTGTGTTGAAAGCTGACAGATTGATATTCCTTATTAGTGTTGGTTTTGTAGTCTAAGTTATGAATAGATTTGTGTGCTGTACTTTATGCATGATTTTCATCAAATGCCTTAATAAAAATATTGAGCTTTCTCAAGGCTTGCTTCTAGAATTTGTGCTTGCTTGAGTCAAAAGAAGTGTAAAAGCACACTTGACTTTTGGGTCTTTGTATTGTTTCTGAGACAAAAGTGATGCCCTAATGTAGGATGTTCCAGAGGTGCTGCTGGTGCAGTATTAGTACACCAGAAGTGCTGGTGGTCTGCACTTTGTAACTTACTTGTGGGCATCTGTAAAGGTGTTGCATATGTGTCTTGCCTAAGTTTGTGGAGCAAGGGTGAGACACAGGTGGAACAAGAAGAGTTTTGACTTGATGACTTTGCTACAGAAAATACGCCACGATTTGGCAGCAGTTTTTGTTTCTGTATGTCAGATAGTTTTGTGTAATTTCTTCTACAAGCCAAATCTGTGCTCCAGACATCTCTCATGTAGAGAGAATGCATGGCTGTATTGATTTATCACCCACTGGAGTACCAGCAGATCCACCTGTAATGCAGTGAATAGACAGATCTCCTTTGACCACAGAAGTACTCTCTTCCTGTGTGTCTTGAG